TCCCGTTTTTATTTTTTACGTTTTTCGAGAAAAAAATAGAAACGTTTTTAAAATGACATTTAGCGCAATAAAAATAAAAAATGAAAATGAAAATGATTTTTTAGTTTAGTGTAAAATGATAGAGAAATGAAAAACGACTTTTAGTCATTTTTCATTTTTTATTTTCGTTTTCTCTTCTCTCGAGCAGAGAGAGAGAGAGAGAGGCATTAATGAGTTTTTTGTTTTTATACTGAAAACAATCTCTTGATAAAACTACCAAACGCATTTTTAAAAATGATTTCTGTATGAGATTGAAAACGTTTTCATTTTCATTTTCATACAAAAAATAAAATCATTTCGGAACGAGTTCCAAACGCGCCATTTGTCTATATCAGCTTTTCACTTTTATTTTTCTCTTATGTGATACACCCGTCCAATAAGATTGTACCATTTGAATATTTTGTCTATGTCAGCTTTTCACTTTTATTTTTATTTTTCTTAATAGGTATTTGCATTGAATACCTATCAGGAAAGAGAAAAATAAAAGTGAAAAGATGACATAGACAAAATATCTAAATGGTACAATTTCATTTGACGTGATACACCTAGGCCTCGTTCACTTCGCGGATTCGAGTTTTCAATTCGAGTTGAGATGTGACATTTTCTGAGAGTTTTTCACTGCAGCAGAAAAAGTTAGATGTGACATTTTCTGAGAACTTTTTACTGTAGAAACTTAAAATTAAAAACTCAAATCGGTGAAATGAACGAGACCCTAATATATTAAATAATTCATCCTAGTCTTGTCTGTGTTAGGTTGCACTGAAAATACATATATGAGACTTCCTAATGTGAAAAAACCTGTACCGGCGAGAATCGTCTTGAAAGGTTCTAACACGTTTAATTGTTAGACATGCATCGACCCCACTTTAGCGTTACGTGCAAAATTCAAATGTTATCATCATATTTGGTTTGATGCTTCGTAATAAAATTATTGTTTTTTTATTTTTTATTTTTTTGACACTAATGCTCCATATCTTTAGAAAAATAATAATAATTGACAGAATGCAATGCCTTTCATATATGCAATTTGTCAGGCACGTAAATTTGCATTCTCTCGTTTTTCAATGGTGTTATCTATTAGCGTGTAATTGTCAAAATCTTTTTAAAACATAAGGAGCTAAATGAATAATCAGAATATATTACAAAGTTTGTTTGATAATCAAGTTCTTTATAGCATTTATATTTTATAATGGGAAAAGAAATAATTAGAAGTTTCTGGTTTTTGCTCTGTTGACCACAAATAGAGATCGATGATAGATCGGACGTTAGATTTTAGTGATAATGTGATTTTGTACCTATCACATATGTATGTCTTTTATATATATATATATATATATGTATGTATTGAAAAATACTAGTAAATTACTAGCAATGGACCAGATGATGTTGGTCCAACTGTAAGAAAAGCAAGTTTTCGGGACAACTTTATTAGACTCTTTATGCCGCGAAAGGCACATCCGACCCAATTATAAATAATATGCAATTACAACTATTATGAGTTTTGACTCAAATTAATTAATTAAAGGTTGTAGTCGTACGACATTCATCACTGAGGGCCTACGGATTACATTTATTTAGGAGACAAACGAATGCATGACTTAATTAATATTTCTATTTTCTAGTACTACTGCGTTGGTTTGAGCGCTAGAAATAAACAACTAAAAAGCACTGCCTTTTTTTTTTCCCCTCAAAAGGTCAGAGATATAGATGCTGTTGGTAGTTCACTTTACGAATTTGAGTTTTTAATTCGAATTGAAATGTTATATTTTTTAAGAGTTTTTTATTATAATAAAAAAAGTTAGATGTGACATTTTTTTAGAGTTTTTTACTGTAAAAACTTAAAACTCAAAACTCAAATCGGTGAAATGAACGAAATCTCGTTCATTTCACCGATTCGAGTTTTCAGTTTTAGGTTTCTATAATAAAAAGCTCTCAGAAAATGTCACATCTAACTTTTTCTGTTACAGTGAAAAGTTCTCTAAAAATGTCACATCTCAGCTCGAATTGAAAACTCGAATCCGCAAAGTGAACGAGGTATTAATCTTAAAAAAAAAATTAAAAAAAAAAACAACGAAATCTGACTAAGAAATCTTGAAAAAGTTAAATTAAAATGATTAACTACGGTGATGATGAAGATGATCAAGCCATGATCAATGATGATGATCCTCATCATGACCGGCATCAGGGCCTTGGCATAACATAATTGGGTTTTTTTTTTTTTTTTTTTTTAGGCTGTAAGGAATTAAAACTTTAAACTGAACTTTTTCTTTCTTTTTGGGGTTAGCTAGCTAAGTAAAATGTGCATGCTTTTATATATTGTATTATTTTAAACTAAAACTAACAACCCACATGAAAAATTTAACGGTTAGCGCATCTCGTTTCAAATATGAAGAGATTGAAGGGATGCGGCGGACCCTACCCCCTCCAAAATTTACATGATTTCCATATGGTGGGACATCGTGATTATGCTTATGAAGAACTTAAGCATAAGCGTTGATCAATATTATATATACATATATATATATATATATGTATATAAACAAAGTAACGTGCACATGTACTTAAATATAGGGTTCTTAAACAAATAAAAATTGTGGTGTATGCAACAATGATTTTAAAAAATGTATAATAATAAGATCAATAAATTTGGAATATATGGAAAAATGAACTATTTTTTAAAGAGAAAAGTGTAAAACTATTTTTCTATAATAGTCATCTTTCTATTATTAACCTCTTAATCATAACTGCATTTTTATCATAATAATAGATCAATTCAGACAAATTAAAAATAAAAAAAAGGCAATGTTGAACACAATTAATATTATTAATCCGGCTTTTAACTTCAGTCTGTCTGTGGTCGCAAAGAAAGTAAGGGCTTGTTCCCCGTTCACTTCACTAATTTGAGTTTAAAATTCAAGTTTTACTACAGTAAAAAGTTCTCACAAACAATCACATCTAACTTTTTTGCTACAGTAAAAAGCTCTCACATAAAATCACATCTCAACTCGAATTACAAACTCGAATCAGCAAAGTGAACGGACCCTTAGAGTTTAACTTGAGTATAATTTTTGAGTTGAATTTGAGTTATAACTTGACTTGAACTTGTAATTTGAGTTTGTGTTTGGTTGTGTACATTTGAGTTATGATTTGAGATAAGAATCTTTTTGAGTTTGTGTTTGAGTGAGTCAAAACTTGAATTTGTATTTAGATAGTATTTTAAAAAAGACTCAATGCTGATGAAAAATTTTAATAAGGTATATGGGTCGGGTTTTATTCATCTTTTCGTTGTCAACGCATAGAAAAAAAAATCATCTCAATCAGAATTAAAACGAAAAAATTATAGCATTTTTAATAATAGAAAAAAATATTGTTCATTAATTTGAGTTCGAGTTTCTGAACTCGAGTTGAAGGAGAAACTTGAACTTGAGTTTTAGTCCTAAACTCGAGTTTAAACTTAAAGAACATGAATTCGAATAAAATTATAACTCGAGTTGTCTTTTTTTGAGTTTTTCACTAAAAAAATAAGCCCTAAATAACCTCATTTTGGGGTAAAACTCTAAAGAAAATTTCACTTTTTTAAAGCATTATTTTATAATATATCAAGTTTTATTACATTAGAAAAAATCAAGCATTATTTTATAATCCCCGTCATTTTTTTTTTTTTGTTTTTAAAAAAGGTTGTAATATTTATTAAAAGAGGTCGCTAAAACCGATCGTACGTCTCACTTAATTCTTAAAATAAATTTAAAGTTTTTTAAAGTTATAATTGATTTTCTTTTTAACTATTACACGTAACAGGTGTACTACGATAGGCGTATGGGGAGGTGGAACCTGGAATGCACACGAACGAAATAGGAAAAGAGAAAAAGAGAAAATCCCACACGCATGGGTTAACCAACAGAGGTTTGACAGTGCGAGAAACGGTTGTCTGGGTTTGGCCTCCAAAACAACCAACAATACCGAGGGAGGGAAATCCCATCGGAGTGATGCAACCGACGGTAGAGGACAAGACACGTGGCCGACATGCAGATCCAGCGGGAGCCAACACCAAGGGAAGACGAATATACTGGGATAGTGGGGGAAACAATCATCACCGTTTCCACAGCTTGAGATCTCTTTCGATACACCAATGCAAATATTGGGTCCCACTTCCCACACATTTTTTCATTTACCATCTCTCTCTCTTCTCTCTTTCTCTCTTTCTCTCTCATAATTAGATTTAGGATATGTTGAGCACTCTTCCGAGGCCAATCTCCCACTTGCGTTGCATGCTTTTTGTGAATTCCTTCAATCATATATAGACCACCACCACCCCAAACCAAATGAAACTAACTAGAGGACATGTGTTGTTAATTGTGTAAAAAGAATTAGACCTCGTTTGGTTCGATTATTCGAGTTTTTAATTCGAATTGAGATGTGATTTTATGTGAAAACTTTTTACTGTAATAAAAAAATTAAATGTAACTGTTTTTTAGAGCTTTTACTGTAGTAAAACTCAAATTCTAAACTCGAATTGGTTAAATAAACAGGACCTTAAACGTCATAATTTTATATCTATGAGAGTAATGAAATTAAATAAACAAAACAAACAAATAAATAAGAATATTTAAGATTTTCAGCCGTTATAGTTTAAGATAATAATCATATTTCACAATTTAAGACCTATTTAATTCACGCATTTAAACTCGTAATTTTAATCCTACTATAATATTTTTCTCTTTTAAAAAAGTTTAAATAAAAAAGATTTCGTCAATGTTCCCTCTCACGTTTGAGAGATAGCTTCTCGTTTAGCTTTTTCTTTTTCAAAAGCAGTTTTGCAATAATATGCTTTTGATAATATTACCATGTTGACTAATCCCAACCAACCACACTAGGCGTTCTCTCTCTCTCTCTCTCTCTCTCTCTCTCTCTCTCTCTCTCTCAAGTATTAGTCTTTGGTGACACATAGAGAGGAGTCACTTTTCTTTTTTAGTTGGTGTTTGTCTCTTTGGCTTGCTTGCTTGCTATCTAGTTGCTATAACTTGATCTTAAACAAAAGCCTATTACAAGCCTGATCTCTCTCTCTCTCTCTCTCTCTCTCTCTCTCTCTCCGAAGGAGATAGCTAGCTAGGATTAATATTATATTTGCATGAAACCCATTTCACGTTGCATCTCAAATTCTCGTTCCCACATGTATAGGTTCTTGTTTCGGAGTTTTAAGTCCCTCTATTTTTGGCCTCACTTCAGAAAGTGGTTCTTCTTCTACACCTGTTTTCTTCAAATTCTGCTGCTTTTGGAGTTTTGAAGAGTAAAGTTGCAGCTTTTTTTTTGCTCTTGGCTAGAAAGAAACCGAATGACTTTCAATTAATATGTTTGTGGTAAGTTGTCTCTCCTTCTTTTCTCTCTCTTCTCACTATTTCTATCTACTGAGATCAATATTTTCCTTAATAGTTCTGTTTCACTATTGATGGCAGTGTCACTAAAATAAAATAATAATTTAAGAAAAATTGGGGTGATTAGATTGATAGAAATCTTGTTGGCCTTGTTATAATTGTATTCCACTTAAATCAAACCAAAAAAAGCTCAAGGTTGCTTTCTTTTTTTTTTTTTTTCGTTTATATATGTTGTGTAGTCCAGAGGAAGATTCTGCCATACTTTGCTACAAGTTAAAGAAATGTTGAAAAGGAAACTGTGTCACGCCAGGCTTTAATTACATAACTCCAAGGGAGTGTGGACAAAAAGGAATTATAACAAATCCTTAAATATAGACAATTATTGTAAATTATTATTTTTTCTTTTAATAACAACATAGTAAAAAAAGGAAAAAAAAAAAAAAAAAAAAAAACTCTCCATTTATTTACACCCTTGGTTTTAAAGAGTCACCTGGTTCTGACATAAGCTGAATGCAATTTTGTGAACTGTTTTCATGTTGATGGTGTTGGGATCTTGGTAATGAAAGCAAAAGGCTTTGAAAAAAAAAAAAAAAAAAGGGGCTTATTGCAAGGCTTCTTGTTATAGACTGGTTGTAAATGTATTCCTTCTTGGAAGAAAAATCTGATGGGGCTTTTTGCTCTCTGATAAAAAAGTACTACTGGGTGTGTTGTGCCACATTAGCACTATGGTTTCCTCTTTATCTTTCCTTTTGTCTGTGAAAGCACAGACCAAGCAGAGGTCAGATTTCAACCCCCAATTGATGGTAATAAAAAGGCTCCTAGCTAGCTTACACCAAAAACCTCAAGGTTCATATTTATGTTCTTGTTTTTTTCCTTTTGCTCTCGTCTTTGTAAAAAGATTCTCACTCTTTTTTTTCCCTTTTTTTCCTTTGTTTTCTGTGGGTACTGCAGATGCCATCTTTATTTTTATCAAAGTTTTCATCATAAGTCGTTTGCTTGGGGCACTCACCTTTTTTTTTTCCCCCCATATTATTTTTTATAGAAGTCAAACTCTTATTAAACAATTAATATCTTCAATTCTCATAAAACTATATGTTTTCTTAAGTTTTTTCCATGTTTTCTCCATATTTGTTTAGCTTAAGTTCTTTCTTTTTTACTCTTTTCTTCACTGCAAGTCCACTATGAATCACCCCCGCAAGTCATAAATGCATTTAATAAAAGAGCATTATACCATATCTGCATGTTGATTGCCCTTTTACTATTCTTTCTTGTTTTCTCTTCCATATTTTTTGGTCATTTGAATCCTACCTGTCTGGGCCCATGATTACTTTTACTAACACCGAAAAAACAGACACTAAATTTTCTGACTTTCATAATTTCCATGGAATTGATGGCTCTGTGCACATACTGACTGAAAAGGTACAAATATACAAGTAAGCATGATTCTTAAGCATCACAGAAGCTATAATTTTGATTTAGTTCACAATCTTTTGTTTCAGTCGTTTTTCATTAGCAGTGATTATGCTTTTGCAGCATATAAAAACAAAGTCATGTGAGTTATGCATGTCATGATCCAAAAAAACACATTTTTTTTTTAAAGCTGGTCACTTTCTTGTTCTTGTTAACCAAGTGTCAGAGTTTGGCACAAAATTCGGACACATGTTGAGCCCAATTGAAGGTCAGTCACAGTGGCTGTCTTCACATGCTTCTAAATTAGCTTCAGCCACTTAATTAACCCTTTAGTATCTTCCAAATGATACAAGGGACAAATTTTTGCATGGAGGTAGCAAAAGCATTATCAGATGTTATTGCCGCTTTGAGGCTTCAAAATCTCTTTAAACCATCTCTCATTCATTACAGCAATATATACACACACACACACACACATATATATATATACACTTAATATGTTCCTTTTTCTTTTATTTTTTCAGTGATGCAGGTGAACTTTCCTCAGTTATAAATTGAAGGGCTTGGAGGGGTCTTTATATACAGTATAAAGGATAAGATGATCAAGAAGATGGGACCCTTTGAGGGATGAAAGCTGAGGTAATACCTAATCCCCATCTTCAAGAATTTTCTGTCATTGTAGTTCATGTACTTTTTAAGCACTCAATTTGCATGCATATCATCATGTATTAAGCCATAAAGCTTAGACAGGTCTTTTAAGAATTCTGTCTTCATTTTCTGCTTCTTCTTTTTCCATTCCCATTTTCCTTAATCACTCTCAAAGTTTGATCACTCTAAGTTTAGTCAAGTAATTCATGATCTTACTTGGCAATCCTTCCTTTGATCACTGTGGTATTAATTTTACAAGTTTGCTTCTTTCATGAAAGGCGGAATACTTAAGATCATGCACCTAAATGTGAGCACATATTCCAAGTTATACAGTAGTTGTTTTGTTTGCTTCTTCTTCTAAAACTTCTTGTCTTGTCTTTTTTCCTCATTTTTCTCATGTGAACAAAACAATATGCATTTAGATTCTGGGTTCTTTTTCTTTTCAGGAATTATTTATAGGAGCATCTCGCAGTATTATGAAGTGAGAAAATTGTCAAACATATACTGATAGAAAGAAAATACCAGCTGAGAAAATGAAGTTCATGAAAATTGGGACCAGGCCAGACACCTTCTACACAGAAGAAGCTGTCAGGTACAACTGAGTTGTTACCATTTTACTTCTACATAATCATAATAAATTTAATATAAGTATTTTAGAAATTTATTAGTTAATACTTTCCTTTAACAATGTAGGACTTTGATCTCAGATGTACCTAGTGATCTTTCTATACAGATTAACAACATCAGCTATCTTCTCCATAAGGTATGGATGGATAAGGAATTATTGTCTCCCTAACTAATGCATTTTTTAGTGCTATTTCTTAGAAGACCTCTTTTTTTTTTTTTGTGGTGCAAATGATTCTACTTGCTCAAAATAATTGTGCTGCTTATTAGCTGCAGTTTTCACTTTTTCCAAGATGTGGGCTCTTGCAACGCCTGTGCTCGGATTCGGATGACTCAGAGAATGTCACAATAGAGCTCCATGATATTCCTGGAGGAGAAGATGCTTTTGAGCTTTGTGCTAAGTTCTGTTATGGAATCACAATTAATCTGAGTGCCCATAACTTTGTGCCTGCCTTTTGTGCCGCCAAGTTCCTTAGAATGACTGAGTCAGTAGAGAAGGGAAACTTTATTCTCAAACTTGAGGCCTTCTTCAATTCTTGCATTCTTGAAGGCTGGAAAGACTCCATTGTCACACTACAGACCACTGCAAAGTTGCCTGAGTGGTCCGAAAATCTTGGAATCATCAGAAAGTGCATTGATTCAATTGTAGAGAAAATTCTCACCCCTCCTGCAAAGGTAGCCATTTTCTTTATAGAAAAAAATTAAAAATCAAAGTTTTTTACTTTTTATTTTTGCCTCCTGAAAATAATGGTAATTTTTTCAGGTCACTTGGTCCTACACTTATACTAGACCCGGTTACAACAAAAAACACCATTCTGTCCCAAAGGATTGGTGGACAGAAGACATATCAGACCTTGACATAGACATGTTTCGATGCATAATGACCGCCCTTAGGACTATAAACATCCTGCAGCCACAGCTCATCGGCGAAGCACTTCATGTCTATGCCAGTCGTTGGTTACCAGACACCACCAAGAATGCATTTTAGTGCTATTTCTTAGAAGACCTCTTTTTTTTTTTTTGTGGTGCAAATGATTCTACTTGCTCAAAATAATTGTGCTGCTTATTAGCTGCAGTTTTCACTTTTTCCAAGATGTGGGCTCTTGCAACGCCTGTGCTCGGATTCGGATGACTCAGAGAATGTCACAATAGAGCTCCATGATATTCCTGGAGGAGAAGATGCTTTTGAGCTTTGTGCTAAGTTCTGTTATGGAATCACAATTAATCTGAGTGCCCATAACTTTGTGCCTGCCTTTTGTGCCGCCAAGTTCCTTAGAATGACTGAGTCAGTAGAGAAGGGAAACTTTATTCTCAAACTTGAGGCCTTCTTCAATTCTTGCATTCTTGAAGGCTGGAAAGACTCCATTGTCACACTACAGACCACTGCAAAGTTGCCTGAGTGGTCCGAAAATCTTGGAATCATCAGAAAGTGCATTGATTCAATTGTAGAGAAAATTCTCACCCCTCCTGCAAAGGTAGCCATTTTCTTTATCAAAAAAAAATTAAAAATCAAAGTTTTTTATTTTTGCCTCCTGAAAATAATGGTAATTTTTTCAGGTCACTTGGAAAGTTTTTTACTTTTTATTTTTGCCTCCTGAAAATAATGGTAATTTTTTCAGGTCACTTGGTCCTACACTTATACTAGACCCGGTTACAACAAAAAACACCATTCTGTCCCAAAGGATTGGTGGACAGAAGACATATCAGACCTTGACATAGACATGTTTCGATGCATAATGACCGCCCTTAGGACTATAAACATCCTGCAGCCACAGCTCATCGGCGAAGCACTTCATGTCTATGCCAGTCGTTGGTTACCAGACACCACCAAGGTTAGAGCTCCAGAGAGTTCAGTGTCTCGGGCCGAAGAATTCGAGGAAAAGAATCGAAGAGTACTTGAAATCGTCGTGAGCTTGATTCCCACAGACAAGGGATCGGTTTCCGCTGGCTTCTTGATGAGGCTCCTTAGCACTGCAAACTACCTAGGAGTGTCTCCTGTGACAAAGACAGAATTGTTGAGGAAATGTAGTCAACAACTTGAGGAGGCAACAGTTGAAGACATACTTTTTCCTTCACAATCATCCCAGCTCAACCAACACTTCTACGACATTGATCTGGTCTTATCAGTGCTAGAGAGTTTCTTGGTGCTATGTAAAAGGCAAACCCCTGCCTCTATAGAAAGCAGCCAATTTCTGAGGTCACTAAGAAAAGTTGGGAAACTCATTGATTCTTATCTTCAAGTTGTGGCAAGGGATGTCAATATGCCGGTATTAAAAGTGGTATCTTTAGCTGAAGCTGTGCCTGATATTGCTAGGGAAGACCATGATGCGATTTACAAGGCAATCAACATTTATCTAAAGGTAAGGAAATTCTAAGTGAAATATGCAAAAAAAAAAAAAAAAAACACACACACACACACACACACAAATTTTGGCAGAGTCTTATTAAAATTTTGAGGAACTAGTTTCCATTGTTTATGTGACGTGCACACAGAAGGTCAGGCTTCTATGAACTCAGCTTCTCTATTCAATTTCGGTATTCCAAATGGTGTCTAACCAATTAAATTATGTAATTTCATCTAAAAATTGGACAACACAAATGTGAGTTTGTGTTGTTGTGAGTTTAGAGCTTATTGAACACAAATATGATCTGAATCCAGCTTCTACCTGCTGAAGTTTGGTGAGTTTATAGCTTATTGATTTCATTTTCTTTTCCTCCCACAATGTCTCTCACTTAAATAAGCAGGACCATCCTGACCTGAACAAGGCAGAGAAGAAGCGGCTATGCCGGATACTGGATTGCCAAAAACTATCCCCGGAGGTACGCGCGCACGCCGTGAAAAACGAGCGGCTTCCATTGAGAACCGTGGTGCAACTTCTCTTCTTTGAGCAAGAGAGAGGTTCCACCACAACGACAAACAACATCACCAACAAACTGTCATTCCAAGAGCTCATTCCCAAAGGGAAACAAGCACCAACCCCAAGAAACGAGCAGGGTAAGCTAAAACTCGGTCCGGATCACGAGAAACCAAGTGGTACCACGTACGGCACCAAAAGTACTGCTGCTGTTTCCGAAAGCGGCGAAAAAGACAATCACAAGATCGTCGTGAAGAGATCAGAAGGGAAAGTGCCGGTGGAATTGGAAAGAAAATCTGGAAGAGGAGAGATTGAGGAAATGGATGCAGAGAAAGGAAGGGATACTGGGAAGTTGGAGTCTAGGAGGATGAACTCAAAGGGAAGTAGATCAGATCCTGGACGTGACAAAGGCAGAGAGAGATAGTTAAATATCCATACATTTAAAGAAAGACCCTCATATCGATTTTCGCAGTTTGAAGCCATTTTAATTCTGTATTTTTTTTTTTTTTTAATTTACGTTAGAAGATATGTTGTTAACTGTTGTAATTGTAAGCAAGGTTTTAGGGCCGTTCTTCATTAAACCATATTATTGTTATAAGTGTCATCCATAAAAGGGCTATTGCCCATTGGTAATTTCTAATAATTTGTTCTCTTGAAAACCAAGTCTATGACTACTTTGGTTCTTTTATTGATGTGTGTTATGACAATGTTTTAGAGCCTGTTTAGTTCGTTAATTCGAGTTTTTAATTCGAGTTAAAATGTGACTTTATATGATGATTTTTTTACTGTAGTAAAAAAATTAGATGTGACTGTTTTTTAGAGTTTTTTACTATAATAAACTCAAATCGGTTAGATGAACGGACCTTAATTTCATTGGCCTCTTATATATGCGGAGTTGAAAGTGAGGTTATTTACCCTCAATCGTTTAGAGGATTCAAGAGATCTTGTCAATACAGCTTTATACATGCTCGTATTAGAGTGTTGACGAGTTTTCCTATTATCGGTCTCGGTATACATTATTCTTCTTAGACTTTATTAAATTTTAGTGATAAATCCGATATCAGTTAAAGATTTTATTTGTATATTATAGAGCTATTCGCATTGTTTGTATCTTTTGTTTGATTGAATACAATCTCCCTTCAAAAACAAAAGTAAATGACTATTAACTCCATGGGAGAAAGGAGGAAACAAATAAAAGAGTACGTTTTGTTCATGAATTAAAATTATGAGATTAAAATTATTTTTAATTTATGTATATTTTTTATAAGAGAAAATACTATAATAAATTATGAATTATGATTCGAATCAGAGAATGAATTCTTTAATCAAACGGGTTCTAAGTCCCTTGAAGCAGGTTCTAACTAATGGGTACCCAACTACCCATTCACAATGTTTTTTTTTTTTTTTTTT